AAATCGGCAAAGGCAGACCGGGCTCGTCGGCCTCCGTCGTGTAAAAAGCCCACGCGGACACCGAAGCAAGAAATGCAGCGCCGTCCCCCTCGACCCGCTCTCCCATCGCCACTCGGCCTCACAACGGGGAGCCGGTTTATCTCCGTCTGCAATCGGAAGGTGAAATTTAAACTCTCTGAATGATGTTGCGGGAGGTGTTTCGAAGGCGGCCTTGGGAGAGCGGAACGCGACATCAACCCGAGGCTCCGTCGGTCGCGTTTGACTCTTGACTATTTTCAAATCACCGATTATAAATAAATACAAGAGCCCTTACAAAGACCAGTTTGGATCGTCACTCTCAGAGAAGGTCTTCATTTAATGCAGTACTGCAATTAGTCGCGCTCTTTAGATACACACAAATCTGTCTCCGGTATTTATCGTGTACGGGGTAATTACTTAACCTATTTTTACTTCACTTATTTTTGCTGTGTTTATTTCTTTGTAAGTGGGAAAAACTCCTTCACCACAAAAAAAAAAGAAGATTGTCAGCTTGTAAAGTATCCGCTAGAACTATTCGATCCGCAACACCGAAGAAGTCTTGATGACACGGAGCCCACTGCGGCGGCGGTGGCGGCCTCAGAGCGAACGGAGCATCCGCCTCGCCGCGACGGCTTCCTCCTTAAGAGAATGAGTAATCTGCACGCGGGCAGCCATTTGCCGCCTGTCACTCAAAGTCCCCCCGAGCCCGCCGCGTTCACTATCAGCCCTCCGCCCGCCACCGAGCCCCTCGTTCCCCTCCTCTCCTCGCCTCTAATACCAATTTAAATCGCTCGCAACGTGCCTTTTCCTCCCGCTGCCATTATTCAAAAAGATCATAATAGTTTTCCCTGTGCCCAAAGCACAAAAAATCAATTATTTCCCCACAAAGACTTGAAAGTACTTAGCTCGGGCCTGCGAGGGGGAAAAGCTGTGGGTTATATCAAATTGAAACTGCACTCATTACACAGGCACACAATTAGTTACCTCTGGTCTGCCCGCCGCGCTTTAATTTGCGCCGACGGCATATCTGTATTATAACAGAAACAAGCATGCAAATGCTATTGTTGGGGATTTAGAGAAATCAATAGGATGGCTGGCGAGCGGCGTTTGGTGGCGCCGTCACTCAAATTCTGCTGCCGGCGACTGATAAAGGTCTGAATTCAAATTAGCGCCCGAGCCGGCCGCTGACATCACAAGTGACATCCCAATAAAAGGCGCGGCTTCATGATAGTTGTCATTTATTCCCCGCTCGCGCCATTTTCGTCTTTGCCCGACCCGCTTTCTGCTCATTGTGTGCACTTGTGGAACTGTGTTTTGCATAAAGGGATTAGGGGAGCCTTAATGGCAAACTATAATTGTTTTTTTTTTTTTGGGGGGTTGTTTTTTTCCCCCCCTCCTTCGCCTTCTTCCTCCTCCTCCCTGCACTGGCTCGGTGCTTGCTTGCGCCTGTGAGGGAGAGACACTGAAAATATGTCTTGAATGAATGTTTGATGCACAAGGAATGCACCGTTGAAATCATATTGCGCGTGCGTGTGTGCGTGCGTGCATGTGTGTGTGTGTGTGTGTGTGTGCTCACGTGCTCACGTTTCCAGATATCAGAAGACAATTGGTGTGTCAGTGACAACTCTGGTGTTATGAAATACGTCCAGTCATGAGCCAGGAGTTGCTCATCAACAATGGACGCCGGCCCCTTTTGTGCGAGTGTTAGCGAGCGCTGCTTTCCACGCACCCGCACCCGCACACACACACACACAATCGTGCAGCTGCTGACTGAAGCCCGGCCAGTCGACATTAATACACACGGATTAGCCCACGAGTCTGAATATGCAGCTCGCTCTCGATGTTTTAATTGGAGGAAAACCGCATCTGAAATGTTGTTCACCAAAACACAAAAAAAATGTCTTCATTTCCCCTTTGACATTTATAACACGACGCTACTGTTTGAAGCTCTCATTCATGTTTATGTAGAAAAAGGCTTTTATTGCCATTCATGTATCATAGGTTTTTTTTCAAAATCTCTTTAACTTCATTGGAGCATCGGCCATGCTATCTTGAGAACTGGTCATATCGAGCTATCTATGTCTCTATATATAGAGATATAGATATATGTATGTATGCCCCCTCCCCCCCCCCCCTGTGAGGGTAAGTGGATCAGAAAATGGATGGATGGACATGACGAAGGCTCTCTGCCGTCTTTCGCAGTAAGACATCGAAATTGAAGGAATACCGCATCTGGTGAGTGTGTCGCGCCATAACTCAAATGTAGGTTATCGAGGCCTATTGAGACGTGTCAGGGGCGGCGCCCCCCCCCCTCCCCCGCCCGTCCCCTGCGCCCTTTCACCTTGTGTGCCAACGAGATGTTCACTTTGGCAGCCCTGCCCAAAGCTCGGTTCCTGCAAACAAAAGCGCCGTGCCCCGGGCTGAGCCAGAATGAAGTGGGCCAAAGTATGCAGGGGAGGGGAGAATGTGCCCTTTGTTGCCCCCCTGGCCCATTCTCTCCACCGCTCACATCCTGCCCCCCCCCCCCCCTGCTCCCACAGGGGAGAGCTGACCGGGGCCCCCCCTGCTCCCACAGTGGAGAGCTGACCGGGGAGGGGGCGCCGTCGGCCTCATTGAGCAGCGGTTAAACGTTTTCACAGCGGCACAAAGCAGGCAGGTGCGCGGCGAGCCCAAAGAAGAAGCCAGGCAGAACAACAGGCCCGGGAGGTGTGCGCGGCCGAGCTTGCGGT